CGCGGCTGGTGGTGGGATCTTCTGACCTTGTATGGCTTGGTAGGACCTTACCCGCACTGTAGTAATCAATTAATGTTGTTAAATGAAGTGACTGTCAGCCAGTTCAGAATTGTGACTTCACTTCACAGCACAGAATCTCTAAATTTTGTATTTTATTTTTCTACGCTTTATTGTTATTTCACTTGATTTTCCCAAGAATTCTGTCCCAGGCGGGCTGGTTCATTGTTCTCACTTCCCAGATGGGAAATTGCAAAGGACCACTTGACCTATACCACACTTGTGTGAGCCTTCCACTCCCAGGGATTACTTGTGATGAGGGTAATTAGAAGATAACACACTTTCCTTCAGTTTAGCACATTATTAACAGATTTTTTTCTCTTCTGAAGTTCATCTTTAAGGCAGCAGAGGGCGCCTGATCACATAAAAGACACTAAAAGTCAGTGATGTATTAAAGAGAATCCATTACAGTTTCAAAAACTTGAATTTTACTAAAATAAGACCCTGTACTTAATCTTTTTACTATTTTAGGATCTGATCTCACCTTAGATGTTCTATTCACTTTCTTTCTCGGTAATGAGGATTTCAGCTTCACATAGATCACCAAGACATGCGAACTCCAAGAGGAGCCTTCCAATTTAGCATCAAGATTCTTTCAGATAATGTCTTAAACCCGCATGGACCAGAACCTTCTAAATCTTCACCAGGTAATATGCTCCCCCTTTTGCAGCCCTTAAGTGGGGATCACTAATGCGTTGCAGATGGTGTGTGGTGGCCCTTTTGCTTCTAGTGTATTGCCTCAAGGTTACCCAGAATTATTAGGAAAGTATGAAAGGATTAGGTTTTTTTTTTTGAGTTGGAGTCTCACTCCGCTGCTCAGGCTGGAGTGCAGTGGCACACTCACGGCCACCCCAGCGTCAACCAGGAGTCCTTCCGCCTAAGCCTTTCCAAGCAGCCAGAACTACTGGCGTGTGCTACCGTGCCCGGCTAATTTTTGGTTTATTATAGAGATGAAGGCTTGCCAAGTTGCCTGGGTTGGTCTTAAACCGATGGCCTTAGGCAATCCACTCACCTCAGCCTCCCAAAGCTCGGGATTACAGGCTGAGCCACCGAGCCTGGCTCCAGGTATGTTCTTAAAGGCACAGCACACTAAGGGAATGTAACTATTTTCCCAGGGTAATGGTGAGGATTTAGGCTTTTGTAGCTCATCATAGAAGAGGATCATGTCTGGAGGGTTGGGCCAGGTTTCTGTGAAAGTCTCCAGCTCCCTTCTGATCAGCTTATAACTGGGTCTTTCTTCTTCCATCACGTTCTCCTGCAAGCAGGGTTGGAGAGCGTGGTAGCCTTAACTCAGCTCTATCTTTCCTTCCCGTTGTTTCTCCAGATTTCATTTTGCTTATAGAACTAGATTTATGGACCAGGCTTGGATTTGGTTGGACAGTCACTCCTCAGCGACTAGTAATTGGTTGATCTAAGGTGTCTTCTTGAAGGCCAAGTCCTTTTGCGCCTCACACACAAAGGAAGAAACCAGACCATTTCCTGACTAACACGTTCCCCTTGTCAAATTTTTGCTTGACCTTGTCCTCATTCTGCCTCATTTCCTGGATTACAAGTCCAAAGGTGACATCTTCTAAGTAACGACCAGCACTTCATTCTGCCCTTTCAGACCCTCACATTCCACGTTCTGCAAATGGTTGTTGCCATTTGTTCCGCTGTCTGAGGCAAAACCTTAGAGCACAATTTTCCACCAGGCAGTTGGGGCTTGCCTGTCTTTGCTTCTCAGGCTTGATCAAGTGACTATTCTGGAGGTGGATAAGGTATCTTATTAGCTGTAGCCTGCCAACGAAGAAGCGCACGCTCTCCATACCAGGACACGGGAGGACAGTGGCAAGGAAGGCGCAATGCGAGGACTGTGGCTTCTTGTCCAGCACAAAGCCCTTGGGACCCAACGGTGAAGCGTGCTAGGCTTCGGCGCCTTTTACACGGGATAGGGCGGGGGACTTAGCGGAGGGCCTGCGAGTCCTCATGACGGTACGAAAGTTTCCCTGGGGGGAGACCACGGCACTCATGATCGGTCCAGGGCAGAAACGACTGAATGACGGCGGGCAGCTCCGCCCTGGGACAAGCCACGTGCCGCAGCAGGTGCGACAGCGCGCCCGGGAACACGGGGCGTTC